AACATGTATCACTTACGGCCAAACTATGGACCAGGTGTCTGGTTGTAACCTAGCAGGTACTTTCTATTCTCTAGTGCATAGAAAGTACCTACCTGCTAGGTAACAACCAGAGATGTTTATCAGTCAGTCCATAATTTGGCCCTTAACGTGATTAAATTATTTTGTGGAGGAAGACTTTTGGAAATAAATCTAGTATTAAGTAATTTTCTATTAGATTTTAATTATTTAGGTCTATAGATATTTATTCTGAAATTCACTTCTTGTACAACTTATTTACTTACCATCACCGCCGTAATCTTCACCTGGAAAGCTGGCTTCTGCCGAAACTAATAGGGCGATTACGCACACTATGAAAATGACAATCTGGAAAAAAATTGTTATGTACTAATAGCAAAATTTTTGGGTAAAATTCACAGTCGTTTGTACTTACCTTTGCTAATATCTGCATATTGAATGTTACTATTTTCAAGAGAGAATTTGTCCCACTTATATATGTTTCAAAAATCTTATATAACAAGACAAAAAACAAAATAGAAAAACATACTTCTCCGCAGTTGATGCAGTTTTTTGTATTTATTATTTACCTAATTTAAATACCTAATTAACGTAATTTGGTAAAATCAAAGTTGTTTAAAAATAAATCCCCTTTAGGACGAGATCAGGGAAAATACCTAACTAGTCACGTGTAAATAATAAATATTCTGGAAAAATATAATTTAGAAAATGCGTTTTAAAATATAAGCAGTTACCTAACTAAAATTTAATAAGTATTTATAATATGTAATACCTCAGACAATCTAAAATTTGAAAAATGGTCAACCATTAAATAGGTATACAATGTACAGAGTATTTTTTTAGATATTCACACCCCACCTACCAGCCTGTACCTTTACCGGTAGAAGATGAAAGGTGTAAATACAAAAGTTGTACAGTATTGGGTAAATTTTTAGAATCCATAGTCAAAAGAAAAATTAAATGTCAGAAATGTGAAATTTTGCATGCTTTCAGCGTTTTTCAAATGGGATGCGCAATATTTGGTTCTATATTCTTGAAGAGTACAATTTCCCGATTCCAAAACTATATAGTTTGTCTATATTTGGTTGAGCGGTCTCCAACATATTTGGTTCTAAAAATTTTAAAAATACTACCAGAAAAACCAAGTAAGTAAAATACCTACTTCAAATTTTACCTGCAGCTTTTACCTGTACAAGTAGAATGGTTCACAAAATCAGTAGTAGGATAGTATTTTTACAATTTTCGGAGCCGAATATATGAGAGATTACTCAATCAAATATAGATCGGAGGCCGGAGCATTCTGCTCTTCAAGAATATAGAATGAAATATTGGCATCTTATTTGAGAAAAGCAGGAAGCATGCAAAATTTCACATTTCTGACATTCAAATTTTGTTTCTGACCATGGTTTCTAAAAATTCAGCCAAAACTGTACAACTTTTGTATTTACACCTTTCTTCTACCTGTAAAGGTAAAGGCTGTAGGTGGGGTGTCAATATATAAAAAAACACCCTGTACAAATAAGTGGATTATTGCGGAACTTATGGGTGGACCTCTGCGGGACGAGCGCAGCGAGTTCCGCAGCCATCTACTTACCAATATACTGATGAACTGTTCAAATAAGACACTCACCTGAAACATGTACTTTTTAAACTAATGAGAATAACTCACAATTTAGTGAGTCAGGTTAGTATCGTAATTAAACAACATATTGATGAATAGATGGCCACCCATAAGTTCCGCAATAATCCACTCATTTGTACTTGAATAACTTGTCACATTATATTACTAGTTTGGTAAAGTAACATTACTAATTCCTGTTAATAGGCAAATTGACAAAAAGTGAATAATCATAATTTTACAAATTTTGACTTTATATAATAAGTTATTGTTCAAGTACAAAAAGGTGTATTATTGCATAACTTACGGGTGGACCTCTACTCACCAATACCTATACTGTTGAACTGTTCAAGTAAGACATTCACTTGAAACGTGTAGTTTTCAAATTAATGAGAATAACTCACATTTGAGTGAGTCAGGTTAGTATCTTAACTAAACAACATATTGATGAATAGATGACTGCGGAACTCGCTGCGCTCGTCCCGCAGAGGTCCACCCATAAGTTCCGCAATAATCCACTCGTTTGTACTTGTATAACTTGTCACATTATAAATATTACTAATTTGGTAAAGTAACATTACTAATTCCTATTAATAGGCAAATTGACAAAAAGTGGATAATCTTACAAATTCTAACTTTATATAATAAGTTATTGTTCAAGTATGTACCATCGTCACCAAAAGTATCTGGGACAAACATAATTCATATTAATCTCCTGGACTAATTCGACCGTCATTCATTTCAATGCATTTGATTTATAGTTTGACAAATATTTGACACTAAAATTTATATAATAGTAAATGAGCTAATATGATGCTGTCCCAGTTACTTTTGGTGACGATGGTACCTATAGAGAAAGAGAAAAACAGAAAATATTGTGATTATTGGGGTGTATGCTCCAAGTAATGACGCTGAAGAATGGGTAAAAGACAAGATACATTTCATGAAATTATGGAACAGAGATTATCTATTTAGGAGCATACAGAACAAAGAAAAAAAACTGTGAAAAATCGTTTTGTTTGAAAAAAAAAACAGAGAAAACGCATGAGAAGATTTTAAGAAAAGATAAAAAGATAGAAAATCAATTGATATTACGCCAATTTACAAAATAGGGTAGATATAATAGACTTCAAGATGATCGTAATTTGACATGTCATGTCATTCTTATACGAGGGCATTGAGGTACAAGGTGAGTAAATCAAATTTTCAAGGACCAGATGCGAAAAAAATGAAACAAAACAGTTATTTTCCTAACAAGTGCGAAAAGTAGTATTTTCTCGCACGCCAAAGCAGCTAGACGAACGACAGGTTAAGACCACAAGACATAAGTGAAAACTTATAAAATTGATATTACGATGTTTAGGATGAAAAGTGTAGGTACCTACCATTATTTATGTGTCTGGTACTATTCCTCGGATTACTCTTAAACAAGTTTTCTGTTATTGTTATAACAACCTGCCAATGAAAAACGACCCCGCAGTCCGCAGAAACCTTATGAGAACTGGGTCTCAGTGGATTCTCATGAAATTTTGCATATTGATAGTTCTTGACCTATAGATTAAAAGTGTCCATGGGCACAAAGTTCTAAAAATTCGCTTTTTTGAGTTACACTCGTTTGAAGTTGCGTCATATGTGATATTGCTCAAACCTTATACAGTCTACTTTTTTCGGTTACTTCGTGAATTTTAGAACGACATATGCATAGTATAAATAGGTTTTAAATTACTTGATTCCAGAAATGGCGATTTTTAAACCATAGACGTCCTAAGAGGGGTTTAATAGTTATATATGTATCAAGGGAATTATGAGGGTGTAAATACCCCAGGGCAACGTTTGTGTCCCGAGGGTATTAACACCTGATAATTCCCGTGGTACATAAATAATTTTATATTCCACTGAATTTACTTTATTCTGTCTATTTTGATAAAGGAATGAACCATAAATCAAAGTTTCTATTTTTTCTCAAAGTTTTACCTATTCAAGGTAAAAGCTTTACCTGCTGAGCATCAGATGGGGGCCTGCTGAGCATCAGAGGAGGGTCTGCTGAGCATCAGAGGGGGGATGCCATCCGGGCCAGGTCCACGAAAGATTCGCAGCTTTCACAGTCCTTCGTAAATAACTGAGATGGAGATTTCAAAGTCACGAATGTGAAGGTGACTATCGGAAATGCTTTGTCTGAGTATACAGAATGGAAGTATGCACCATGCACCGAAAAGATAATAGCTAGTTCAGTTCCAGTTTTGGCGAATTTACCGTCATAGAACATGTAAGAAGGGAGTCCGTAAGTCTTTATACAAATAAGTTATTGTTCAAGTATGTACCTATAGAGATAGAGAAAAATTGAGTAAATATTGTGATTATCGGGGTGTACGCTCCAAGTAAAGACGCTGAAGAAAGGGTAAAAGATACATTTTTATGAAATTATGGAACAGAGGTAATCTAGGAGCATATAGAACAAAGAAAAAAAACTGTAAAAAATTGTTTTGTTTGAAAAAGAAACAGAGAAAAAACATAAGAAGATTTTCAGAAAAGATAGAAATCAATTGATATTGCGCCAATTTACAAAATATAATGTAGGTATAAGATGATCGTAATTTGACGTCATGTCATTCTTATACGAGGGCATTGAGGTACAAGGTGTGTAAATCAAATTTCCAAGAAGGACCAGATGCGAAAAAAATGAAACAAAACAGTTATTTTTCTAACAAGTCTCGGACTGTAATAAATAATTGATGTCGACTTGATTATAAATTTAAATTTGCTTGAGAATTACTTACCTATTTAAGGCGCCGCAGATTGAGCTTTGGAAATACATAGTACCTACCATAATATATTCAATACCTATGCAGATAATAACAAAAGTGTAAATTTAATGGAAATTTCATTTCACTGTCATTTTTGAATCAAAACTATTAAAATCAAAAGGGCTGAGGAGTTTTGATTTTTGGTCTTCTACACAAGTTTTTGAAAAATGTCTAATTAGTAATTATCTGCCAAACCCATTCAAATCAAAAGTAGTGATGTCATGAGACGAGACGCTCTCTCTCGTCTTATCTCGAAGATTCGAGAGAAAATGCATGAGTCTCTTCTTGATACGAAAGGAGAGAGTTTTTACCTCATCTCGTCAGTTTCGACGCATAGTAGCAGGTTATTTTCGACTCAGATCTTTTTTTAAAAAAAATCAACTTTTAGTCCAAAGCCATTATAATCAAATGAGGCAAAGGTTTTTGGTTTTCAAACCAGATTAAAAAAAAAAGTCAATAGTTGTTATAAAGATTCATCTAAATAACTAAGTACATATTTCATTACAATAATAACTGCATATTTTATAAACGATAAACCTCTATAGACCAAGGATCCAATATTATTAGAAAGGTTCTCCAACAGGTCTTAACATCAATTCGGCGACCTAAAAATTACATAATATTGATGATAAAATCTCTCTTTTGATAAGGTTTTTACTTGAAAATGCGGCGGAGTCGACAAAATATATAAAACACCATTAGCAACATCTTCAGGTTTCAAAAAGTATTTGAGCGGACTTTTTCCATCTCCTCCCATAATGTTTCTGATAAAAAAATCTGTTTCTTCCACTGGACCTGGACTCAAACTCTAAAAAGTTGTTTTACAAACAATTAGTCAGAATTGAACAAATCATATTATCTTCCTTACAGTTACTTTTATTTTCGATTCAACTCCAATCAGTTCCAATCTTAAAGTCTCAGTTAGAGCCCTCAGAGCATGTTTTGAAGCAGTATAAATATTAGTATTAGGTATGTCGTATACAAAATGGCCCAAAATGCTGTTCATGTTAATTATTTGACCTGCCACTTTATTAGACGACATTATTTTGATGACTTCTTTGGACACTATGCAAGGGCCCATGACGTTGGTTTCTGGAAAGTTATATATATATATATATAGATTTCAATAAGAGGAAATTGATTTTTTACCAAGAACATTTCTCCAGTCATCAACGTTTCCATTATACAGAGTTGTATTGAGCAAAGCGCCGGCGTTATTAATTAAAATATGCACAATGCCGATTTTTTCGATTTCTTCAAATGCTTTTTTAACGTCACTTTCGTCAGTGACATTGCATTTGATTGCATATAATTCACCCTTAGGATTTATTAATTGTTTGGATATTTCTTGCACTTTTTCAACTCTTCTTGCCAAACCAACAACCTATTTTTGGAAAAATATATATTGGTTTATATATTAAGTTGGTACTTACATTTATGCCTGCTTCAACTAGAGCTTTTGTAATGGCAGCACCAATTCCAGCACTGGCACCAGTTACCACTGCCAGTTTTCCAACCCATTGGTCTACTAATAGCGACATGATGTATAATATGACTTCTATGAAATACTGGTTATTATTACAAAACCTTGCAATCTCCACTAACTGCGTTAATTTTTATTACTTTTTAAAGCTGATAGAGGATATTTTTAACCGTAACAAACAGTTTTGTTGAAGGTAACCTTTCACAATATTGTCTTTAATTGTTATTGTGATAAAAAATAACCTTGCGTTAAGCAAATGCAGAGAGAAAGAAAACATTTATTATTAGAAGAATTACAATGATTTATTTTATTGATCTTTCTATATAGAATAGAATGAACCCAAATATTAGAAAATGCTAAACTAAAATAATAGTTTTTAATGAAATTGACATTTATTTATAATTAATTACGATCTATAAATAAAGTAAGTATTTACATTTAATTAAATGTGACTTAAAACGTAAATATCTAAAATCATTCTTTGGTTAATTATTATTATCACATAAAACAATAATCTATTGAAAAAAATACAAGATTTGATCCTGTCTGTACTAAGTATAGAAAAATAATAGGTATTTTATGCTCCTTTATAACTGAACCCAATTTGCTTATTGCTATCTCCGACAATGTCTATATCGCTGTCGCAATCGCTCACGTCGCTATTTGAACCTGGACTACTTGGAGGTTGTTCTGAGATGGAGGACAGATTTGATGCATTTTGACCTGGAAAAAATATAAAGTATTACAGAGAATAATTGTTATTAATTTTGAGAGTTGTAGTTGAAATAAAGCGGTTTGAGAACGTCAGTGAACTGATTTTGCACCCACATAGAGCTAAAATTCAACTGAGAAGAACAAAAATTCTATTCCAGGCTCTCCTAGAATATCAGATTCTAATTTCAGACCTTCCAAAGACAAGAAGACTAATTTTTGATCCCTTTGGAGCTAAATTTGAAGTAGAAAAACAGTAAAATTTCTCTTCCTGGTTGTCCTAGAGTAGAAATTGAACTGGAAAAGTTTTAAATTTCGATACCTGACCATTCTAGAGTTGCCGATGGATTAGAGCGGTTTGAGAACGTCAATGAGCTCATTTTGTACCTACATAGAGCTAAAATTCAACTGAGAAGAATAAAAATTCTATTCCAGGCTCTCCTAGGATAATAACTCCAATTTCTGACAGCTTTAGCGTTGAATTTGAGCTATAGCAGTTTAAGGGTGGATTTTCATGCATCCGTTTTTCCGACGAAAGATGTCCGAAAAACATTCTATTCTGACATAATCGTATTAAAATATGTCAAAATAGAAGATTTTTCGGACATATTTCGTCGAAAAACGGATGCATGAAAAGTAAGCTTTAGACGTCAATTTTGGCCCTCAAACTACGATTTCAGATCATTTCAAAACTACCCAGTTCATATAGAGCAGTTTGAGTAGCTCATTTTGTACCCTGATTGAGTTGAAATTCAACTCCAATGTTGCCAGAGGTGGTACAATTGTACCAAATTTGGTTCCATTCGCTTTGTAAAAGTACGCTGGTACGACGTTGGCATAGGTATTTATTTGGTACAATTTTCAATTTTTTTTTTTCCAAATTCTCATAGAGTCGTTTAGGATTTCACTTTTTATCAAATCAAAACAAAACGTGCTTTTATTCTACTGGATCAAAAATAATCCTCATTCTCAGGAAACGCATGCGCATTATAGGCTAGGCTGACCAGATCTCGGTCACCAAAGTAGCATTTCGCCAGGGGCGTGCCGAGTTTCTTGGGGGCCCTCCCGCGAGATTTTCCTTGGGGGCCCCGAACAGTTTCGGTAAAAATAAAAGTAAACAAAAAATATCAAAGATCATAACATGAAATAAAAAATAAGTACTACTCTGGTAAAAAAAACAGATATAAAAGAATTGTGAAAATAAAAAAATAATAACCAAACTCTGGTTCAAGCAAAACTAAAACTAAGAAATAATAGGGAAAAGTGTAATAAAACCTCTAATTACTTTGGTGGTAGAGACTAGCATTTTTTGTGTCGACTAGTAGAACGACTGGATAAATAATGATCAACTATCCCTTTTCAACTTCAAATTGAGACAACACAATCAAATTGAGAATAAACATTTTTTAAATAAGATTAAACAAAATCAAATTGAGAATACCAATTTCAATATCTGTACCTCAGAGGTAAATTGTATTAAGTCATAATATTATAAATTATTATACTGACACTAAGTGATTCTAGTACAATTTACCTTTAAGCCTGGTGAGTCACTTGACACAGGTTCCAACTAGGTACTTCGGTTGTCTTAAAAGCTAGGTGTATGAAATTTTTTTCAGAGGTCAAGTAAGTTATTAGAAGTAGTATTCAGCTAAAAACCCATTTTCGAAAAAAAAGTGACTTAATACAGTTTACCTCTGAGATACACAGATATGAGAATAAACACCATCAAATTGGAAACACGTTCAAATTGAGACCAAACAACTACAAATTAAAAATAAACACTATCAAATTGATGTTACGCTCCTTAAAAAAAAAAACACATATTAAGTAATCATACCTCATTCAAATAGATGAACAAAATTCTAATTTTAGTAATCAAATTGAGCAAAGGAAGCATAACATAACACTATGGATAAACGTTAAATTTTACATAATGCATATCAGCTAAGTTCAAAGCATGTGGAATAAATACTTTGAATGTGACTAATGTGAGCAGTATATTTTGTGCAGTGGTTGATGTTAACTGTTGGTAAATTACGTTGACTTATATTTTCCAATGGTTACATTACATAGAAGTGAACGTTATACCAATTTGAAATTGATTGTTCTCAATTTGATTGTTTTAAGTATCAATTTGATTTTGTTTAATCTCAATTTGGAAATGTTAGTTCTCAATTTGATTGTAACAAGTCTCAATTTGAAGTTGTAAAGGTATAGTTCATCAATATTTACATCTTTAGCTCTTTCGTGCTCTATTGAGATGAGAGCTAAAGAACTTAGACGAGTTTAAAACATGGTCGATCTAAGGACATTTTTCATTAATTTCAATTTGGAAAATGACCTTTCCGGTTGAGCTGAAGTCGGAAGGACTAAAAATAGTTTGATTTTTTTGAAGATTTTCTTTAACTGACACTCGAACTGACATAAGTGGTAAAATATTTTGTGTGAGAAGAATACCTTATTTAGTTTGGGGGCCCCAAATATTCCGGGGCCCTCCCGTCAGGCACGCCACTGCATTTCGCGCCCTTGATACAAAAATAACTAATTTTGGTCGTGGCACTGTTTTTTTTTCTCCATTTAGTGCTTTCTCCACTCACCTTTCCCAACATTTTAAATGTGTATATCATTCATACAAAAAAAGTAGTGATGAGCGATATATCACGAACTGTGATTTAACCACTGATATCTAAAAATCACGGATCACGACCGCTACCAAAGTTCCATAAAAAGCGTGACGTGATCACGACAACGTAGCAAATTATTTAATTTCTTGTCTATTAGGCAATCCAAACCACGTGACTTTTGCCAACCAGCCGGCATTTTGAAATTATTATGAGGTTAGAATACGGGTTTTCACATGTCAACGATGTCAGAAAAATGTCAAATTTGAGAACTCGTCCCGTGTATTGATAAAGCCTGGTACTCATAAAAGCGAAATTTGCGCTGTGTGGCGGGCCTTTAGTTCCGGACTAAGGGATTTCGGCCCTTACCAGTTTAACGGTACTTTTGTTATCAATTTTTTAAATATTTAAGTGGGTATTACTTTATCAAATATTTGCTTTGTTTGGTTTTCATCGTAATTTGATAATTTTGCGTTTTAAATGGCATCCCACTTTATCTCACCCATTTGGGGTTTTTGCAAACGTTTACTACTTTCTCGTTATCTTTGTCTTACTCACATATAATTAACAATTAAACATTTTTTCATTAAAATTAAACTAAAAACAAGTTTCCAAAACCTTATTTGGGAAATTTGTTGTTTTATAATCGTTATTATTTAATTATTCAACAGGTTTTAATTAAATTAAACCATTTAAAATGACATTAATGTCATGCGGCAACGTCGCTTTTAATCGGCCATTTTGCAGTGACGTGTTTACGTTTTTATACAGTTTTTCCTTGAATTTTCCATTTTTCCAGGGCGTTTTAAGTCGGAAAAATTGGTTTAAAGTACGAGGCTTTGAGTTTTTCTCATTTTGTGCAAAAAATGTCTAGTTTTCCAATAGGGTAAGTAACAAAAACTCAAGTCTCATCAAGTAGGTGCTGGAATGTTCTTTTTAGAGATTTTTCTTTGGATTTTCCTCTTTTCCAAAGCTTCTTCAATTAGGAAAACCGATTTTAAATATCAGGCTTTAAGTTTTTTTTTCATTTTATACCAAAAATTTCACCAAGTAGGCTCTGGAATGTCCTTTTCAGAGGTTTTTCTTCGAATTTTCCGCTTTTCCAGGGCTTTTTCCCATTTTTTCCCATTTAAATGCTTTTTCTGGAAGTTATTTTGATGTGGCAACATCGTTTGTAGCCTACTTCAATCATGTAAATCTTGTAATAAATGTCATTTGTCAATTTGGAAAGTCGACCATTTTTGAGTATTTTTATCCATGCTTTTCTTCGAAATTTCATCCGCTTTTCCAGGCCGTTTAAAAAACGGAAAAAATGGTTTAAAGTACGAGGCTTTGAGTTTCCTTCATTTTGTGCCAAAGATTTTCAGCTTATTTCCAATAGGGTAAGTAACAAAAACTCAACTTTCATCAAGTAGGCTTCAGAATGTCCTTTTCAAAGGAATTCCAGGAAATTTCCAGTTTTCCAATGGGGTAAGTGACAAAAATTCAAGTTTCATCAAGTAGGCTTTGGAATGTCCTTTTTAGAGGTTTTTCTTTGGATTTTCCACTTTTCCAGGCCGGGAAAACCGATTTAAACTACGAGGCTTTGAATTTCCTTCATTTTCAGCCAAAAATTTTCAGTTTTAATAATTATAATTAAGAACGCAAAAAAAATTTAATAAAAAACAACTTTTTAGGGAATTTATATATATATTTTTTTTCAGGTGGCCACACTGTTTTGTAGCCAACTTTACTCGGGTTCCAATCCAGTAGAAGAAGTAGGTCTTGGAATGTTATTTCTAAAGTGACATTTGAGAAAAAAGTATGGTCACCCTCACCCTATTATAGGCTGGTACATTTTTACTGAATTTGGTACAATTTGTCTTTAATTTTGATACAAAAAATTTTTGCTCTCTGGCAACACTGTTCAACTTAGATAAATAAAAAAATCCCATCCCAAGCTCTCCAACTTCTAACAATTTTAGTGGTAAATTTGAGTTATGGCAGTTTAAAACTTCACTTTTGGCTTTCAAACTACGATTTCTGACCATATTAAAGTTACCTGCAGTTCACATAGAGCGTTTTGAGCAGCTCATTTTGCACCTTGATTGGCCTGATTGAATTGAAATTCAACTCAGATAAATAAAAGATCCTATTCCAAGCTCTCTAGAGTAGTAACTCTAACTTCTGACAATTTTAGAGGTAAATTTCAGCTATGGCAGTTTAGAACTTCATTTAGGGCTCTTAAATTACGATTTCTGATCAATTTAATGTTACAATTATTCACATAGAGCGTTTTGAGAAGCTCATTTTGCACCCTGATTCAGCTGAAATTCAACCGAAAAGAATGAGAATCCTATTCCAGGCTCTCCTAGAGTAGTAACTCCAAATTCTGGTTATTTTAGCGTT